TGTGTCTCTACCAGGTGTTGATATCAGGATGATGCTGGCCTCATAGAATGAGTTGAGGAGGAGTCCCTCCTCCTATGTTTTCTGGAATAGTTTCAGTAGGAATACTACCAGCTTTTCTTTATACATCTGGTAGAATTGGCTGTGGATCTATCAAGTGGCAGGCTTTTTTTGGTTGGTAAGGCTATTTATTACTGATTCCATTTTGGAACTCATTATTGGTCTGTTTAGGGAATCAGTTTCTTCCTGGTTAGGTTTTAGTAGGGTGTATATGTCCAGGGATTTATCCATCTCTTCTGGGTTTTCTAGTTTGTTTGCATAGAGTGCTCACAGTAGTTTCTGATGGTTATTTTTGTTTCTGTGGGGTCAGTGGTAACATTTCCTTCATCATTTCTAATTGTGTTTATTTGAATCTTTTAGTCTAACTAGTGGCCTATCTTATTAATTTTTTCAAAAAGCCAACTTTTGGATTCATTGATCTTTTGAATGGCTTTTCATGTCTGTTTCCTTCAGTTCAGCTCTGATTTTGGTTATTTCTTATCTTCTGCTAGACTTGGGGTTGATTTGTTCTTGCTTCTCTAATTCAATTGTAATGTTAAGTTATGAATTTGAGATCTGTCTACCTTTTTGATGTGAGCATTTACTACTAGGAACCTCCCTCTTAACACTGCCTTAGCTGTTTCCCAGAGATTCTGGTGTATTGTATCTGTTTCCTTATTCATTCCAAAGAACTTCTTGATTTCTGCCTTAATTTTTTTATTTCCCCAAAAGTTATTCAGGAGCATGTTGTTTAGTTTCCATGTAATTACATGGCTTTGAATGATTTTCTCGGTCTTGACTTCTGTTTTTACTATGCTGTGTTCTAAGCATGTATTTGGTGGTATGATTTTGATAATTTTGCATTTGCTAAGGATTGCTTTATGTCCAATTATATGGTTGATTTTAGAGTATATGCTATGTGGAAATGAGAAGAGTGTATATTCTGTTGTTTTGGGGTGGAAAGTTTTGTAGCGGTCTATCAGATCCAGACAAAATACCTATATACATAATGACTAACCCTTATCTCAGTACATCTGTGTTCCACTAAAGGAATACCGGAGGCTGGATAATTTATAAAGAAAGGAGGTATTTGGCTCACCACTCTGCAGTCTGTACAAGAAGCATGGTGCCAGTATCTACTTCTGGTGAGGGCTTCAGGCTGCTTCCACTTAATGACAGAAGGTAAAAGGAAGCCGTGTGTACAAATCACTGAAGAGAGGAAGCAAGAGAGAGGGGGAAGGTACCAGGCTCTCAAGGGAACTCTCTCGGAGTAACTAATAGAGTGAGAACTCACTCATTATTGTGAGATTACAACCAAGCCTTTTGTAAGGGATCCACCCCCATGACCCAACACTTCCCACTAAGCCCCTACCTCCATCACTGTGGATCAAATTTCAACATGAGGTTTGGAAGGCCAAATATCCAAACTATAAAAATCCTATTTTCAAAGAAGGGAAGGTATTGCATCTAATTTATAAAAGTTCATGAATATCATCTTTATAGAGAAAAGAAACACATATATAACATATCATAATCTTGACATAATATATCATGAATATGCCAAGCATATAGTTTTAATAAACCCAGAATATATCAAGAACATCAAGAGATTCAGTAATCTGGAATAGTTCTTAAACATGTGTATATTAACAGAATTTCATAGGTAAATGATGTGAATCCCCAGTTGAAAACTAATGACTAGGAAAACGCTAGATTCAAAACGAAGAAGCAAAGTGGAAACCAAGTTGACACTTTTCAAAAAACTGAAATTATTACTGAAAATACTATATGATAGTTATCTAATATCTGGCAAAGCAGCATAAGGATTTTGACATATCTTGGCCATTGACAGCACTAATGAATCTGTAGTAAGGTTCCATACAGTTTACAATTTCTAAGATGTTTATGCTAATAACATTTTACCTATACCAATTTAACCTAGAAAAAGCAGAGCATCTCTTCTGATGTGATAACTCTTCCCATGCAACTCCTCAATAGTAATATATTGAATAAATCTAATTATTTCTAGCACTTCTCTTTCAACAAGGTCAAAGAACAAATCTTTTTTTTTTTTATTTTTTTTTTTTTGGCCATTGTAACAGTGAGGAAACCAAATTCTAGCTTTGCATCAGAATATTTGATCCTAAAGTTCTTTTTGTAAATATTATAAATAATCTCATCAAACCTTAGCCAGCCACCTCAACAAATAAAATTCCCTAGCTGTGATCCCTCTACAACTTTCTATATCTATATATATCCTTTATAACAACTTATTTAATTAGCAAAAAATGACTTGTTCATTAGCAGACCCAAGTACACATAACTTCTCTGTAGCATGTAGAAATAAGAAGCAAAAGCATATGAATTATATGTAGTAATTAATGTTTCAGCATCCTTTTACTTAGAAATGGTCTAGGTATGTAATGAATGTTTATTAATTGATTTAATTTAGTATCAGCCTAGTTTTTAGTTACCTAAAGATTTTGTATATTATCTCCAAGCTGATATATTACAAAACATAATTCCTGTTGAAATAAAGTTTGTCAGAATAATGACTCAACTTGGTTAAACAAATTTAAATTTTTATAATCATAAATACTTATGAGAATTAATGTTAGCTCATTCAATCAGTAAACCTATGTTTAGGAAGAATATTCTCAAGTAGAATAAAAATCTACCTATATATTATGCCCAGCACTGATAAATCAGAAAAGATATGGCTGGTTTTAGTAAGCCAAAATTACTAAATTAGTCTCATTTGCCCAAGATTTACCTAAATTATGTGAGCTTGAATTCTTAAAATATTTGAGTTTGTTTTAAAGGAGTAATATTTTTTAGCATATTGAAAATCTTGAAAGTTCATTTTCCTTATTTTCTGGGGATTTTAGGAATGTTCTATTTATCTAAATGCTTATTATTTCTACAAACCAATGAGAATAGAACTCCTTTAAGAGATTTTATCATCTAATTTAGTAGTACTATCCAGAAGTAGAAAACTGTTACAAATTCACACAATGAGACATAAAGCCCTTTCTGAATGATAGACATCATCATCGTCGTCGTCATCATCATCATCATCATTATTTAGGCTATTGCCACGAGGAGAACGTTCATTAGTAAGGAACATCTTAAAGAAAAGGAAGGGAGCCACGAGTTTAATGGAAGCAGGTAAATAAAGGAGTCATCTACCAGTCTATGGGTGTCCTGAGGAAGGATCCGGATGAGTCTTTCCTGCAGTCCTTTGCTGTTCTTCATTTCTCATAACACTAAAGGGTGGAGGGTTTCTTAGCCATCATTGCTTTCCAAAAGCACAGGGCTCAAGTAAATTTCAATATTGTCAATGAGGAGAGTCTACTTTGTCAATTTTGTCTATAGCTTTTCTCTTTATTCTCTTTTATCTTGCCTTATTATTTCTGGTTGCATTTTTTGTTTGGATGGCTGGTTTTTTGTGTTTTTGTTTTTTATGCTTATGCTTTATATAACCAATTTAATTGTAAGTTCTGTGAGGAAAGAAAGTATGTCTTGTATTGATTTGTATTCTTCCTCCCCATCTTCCTCCTCTTTTTGCCTAGCACTTAGTGTTCTGTCCCATCTACCTAAAGTTATTGATGTTCAGCAGTATGACAATTATCTCTTTTTTATGTGCTAAGGCAGTAAACTTATAAAATATAAGCTTTTCATAATTGGAAAATAGCATTCACATCCAAGAACTTTCAAAGCCACATATTTAATTCTTATTTAAAGAGAATTCATAGATTGAGTAATATTTTTCCAAGTAGAAATTGGTTTCTACTTGGTTGCATATCTAGGGCTAAGCTATTCTTTGGCTAGATGATTGCCAAGTTCACCATGATGAAACAAAGTCAATGTCCAAAGATATTTTTACCAGCTTCTTGCTTGCCAGTGTACCTGTCTTATTGACTCAGCCTGTGAACCAGGGCACTATTTAGAATATGAAATGTTATTATGGAAGAGATTTCATGAAGAAGTTTATACACTGTGTAGGCACTACAAAGAACTTTACAGTCTCATAGTAGCAAAGATGCCATTTTAACTATTGCTTATGCCTAGGCAATCTCAAGGAGAATTCAGAAAAAAAAAAATGGGCTGGGTATTTGAAGTCTCTGTAGAAGCAAAATAAGTGAAGTGTTTAGGATGAGGCCTTAAAAATAACTTATCATACACTCTTGATAATAAAGAATGTTCTTTTACATCTAATCAGCAAAGCTTGATAGAAGCGTAGTAAAAGAGCGGGTTAACCTTGACAAGGGGTTAAAGTGACGCAGTATCACTGATAGCACATAAGTTAAAGGACACCAGTGAAGTCAATGAAGACAATTTTAGTGAAGAAAACAAAATAACTTTAGAAAAGACTGCTTTACTCTTCATTGTAATAATTGCATTTACAGACAGGCAACCACATTATCCAGCCCAGGAGATTATGCATTTGTATGTTCTACACTCAGCTTTTATAAGCAACAATGCCAAGACTAACTTTCTAAAAATTCTAAGTTATGTCATAGTATCAGTACAGAGAATCCAATCTCTAACATCTTCTACATCTGGCTGAGCAAGATTGTCCTTAAGGCCCCTTCTATATTCTAGCTTTCTTAAAATCCTGTAAGTGATTACCAGTGTTCCTCATGATGACGCCAGGGTACGACAAATTTCTGAAGTGATTCCTAAATCCAGGGAAAGATGATTCTCTCTTGTTCAGTATAGTTATAATATTCTTATGCTTTGAAAATCTGGGATCCTGAATGGAAAATATTAACAGTTTACCTGAATATTTACTTTATTGAAACACTTCATTCCCTGATCATTCTGGGTCATTTACTTATAATCTTTGTAGGTGGATTTTTGTTTTTCTTAAAAGAAGGGGTAGCTTTAGGGGCCTAGATCTCAAGGGTTAGATCCTTGGCTGTTAAGACTCCCTTGGATTGCTTTTTGACTGTTGGCTGTAGCAACTTGTTTTCTTACAGAGATGAAGCATCTGGTTTTTGTTATCTCAATGATGCTGTCCTGGGAATATTACGATTGCGACGGAAATTTGAGCGTATTCTCTACGTGGATTTGGATCTGCACCATGGAGATGGTAAGCTCTTTGGTTTCAAATATGCTTTGCTGCTAGGACAGCAGGTTTTTATCTGTTATCTGCTTCTAGGCAACTGGAAAAAGGAGAAATGTCTGCTGTAATTGAAATTTTCCTAATTGAAAATTTAAAGTAGGTCATGTAGTGATTCCTCTAACTGATGCAGTTGCTGCTTTGCTGCCTAAACCAGACTCCTGTAGTTTTCTCTCCTCTCTCCTCCTGTAGGAAGCCTACAGAACTAATAGAGAATGTTAAGAAGTGAAACTCTTACCTGGTGTTTACTCCAGTGCTCAGTAATCTCCCTCAGGCCATTTCCATTGGTTCTAAGGGAATCTATAGTTAGAGATGACTGTCTTGTCTCTTTTATTGATGCTATTCTCAAGATTGAGTGGGTATATGGGCTAGCATTCTGAATTTTTCACCAATAGGCTGCCAACTCATGTAGTGATCAGAATCTGTGTCATTTTCTTTGGATTGCTAACATATTTAGTGCCACACAAACAGGATATCTTCCCTAACGTTTAATAGCAGAATCTCTTAACAGTTTGCCTTAACCTATTAATTCTCTCTTAGAAGACTCCACTGACAGGACTTATCCGACTGACCCTCCTATGTATTTTCCATCTAGAATGTAGAGCTCCAGTGACAGTTGCCACATTCTCTTTTTTTAAGAAATGCTGTCTGGGACACATAGTATTTTCATTTATTTAAGAACACTTATCTCGTAAATTCTTTAAAATACTCCTCCCCCACATCAGCGATTGCTATTTCCCCATTTCCAGGGATTTTTTTTTTTTTTTCAGGCAAACTAACATAATCAAGGCATAGCGAGGAAAAGAATATTAAATGTCTGAAGTTAGGGTCGGCTCTGCTGCCAAAACAGAGAAAGAAGGATGAAATTGTGGAGGGAACCTTTGCAGGGAGTTTCATCTGCATGGATGCTACCATGGGACAATGACAGAAAATTAAAGGTAACAGAGAGAAGAGAGGTTAAAACCACCAATATACTACTTTGAGAACCATTTTCACTGAATATCTGAATACTCAACCAGTGCAAAACATAGCCTTGCTCAAAAGCCTTCAGAGACTCCTTATTGCTTATAAGGGGTAGCGTTTGACCTATGTCTTATTTTTGTATGGCCAGTAGGCTAAGAATGGTCAAGAATAGGTTTTCCAGCCAAGTGCAGTAGCTCACACCTGTAATCCCAACATTTTGGAAGGCTGAAGTGGGAGGACTGTTTGAAACCGTGAGTTTGAGACCAGCCTGGGCAACAAAGCAAAACCCCCATCTCAAAAAAAAAAAAAAATAGCTGGGTTTGGTGCTGTGTGCTTATAGTCCTAGCTTCTCAGGAAGCTAAGGCAGGCAGATCGCTTGAGCCCAGGAAGTCGAGGCTGCAGTGAATTATGATCGTGCCACTGCACTCCAGCTTGGACAACAGAGCAAAGCACTGCCTCTTAAAAAAATTTTAAAAATGTTTTTTTCATTTTTAAAGGGTGGTAAAAGAGAAAAGATTTTTTAAAATGTGTCTGTGTGTGTATATATATATGTGTGTGCATGTGCAATAGAGACCTTGAGTAATTTGCAAAGCCAAAAATGTTTACTATTTAGCCAGTTAGTTTGTTGACCCCTGGCCTAGAGCAATGGTTCTCAGACTTGAAAGTGCATCAGGATGACCTGAGGAAGTTTGTTTTAAAATTCACACTGCTGGGCCATATTCACCAGATATTCAGATTCAGTAGGTCTGACATGGAACCAAAGAAATTGCATTTTAACACCTCAGTTGTTCTGCAGGCCACACTTTGAAAAACAGTGGTCTTCAAGGTAAAGTTCACACTCTTTACCCAGTCTTTCAAGGTCTACCTTGAAAAGGCCTCACTTCATCTTTCCACCCTTATCTCTCATTACTTGCTGTCCAGGCTACATTACTCAATAAGCATGTCTAACTATTCATGACATGTCTTACTCTTCCTAGACATGTCTCACTATTTCTCCCTCCCTGGCTTTGCCTCCTTTTTTCCTAATTTAGTTTTGTTTCACCTGTCCCAAGTTCTACCCACCTGTTCAAGTTCCAACAGTAGCAGACTTCCCCTGACCACTCCAACTCAAGTGTTCTCTCCCTCCTCTCAAGTCCTGTATTGTCCATATCACCAACTTGATATTTCATTACATATTGCCTTGTATTTTTAATGAATTTTTTAATGTGTCTGTGTCTTCTCTTCTCATAGAAACTAAATTCCTTCAGAGCAGATATCAAGTTGTTTACTTCTTCTTGTTTTGTACAATGCATTGAACCAACAGTACCATGCATAAGTAGTGGCTCATTAAAATATTTGATGAATTAATGATTATGAAATTCAAACTATTAGTATCAGAGTTTAAGAATAGAATCAACTCTGTAGAACCATATAAGAATGAACTGAGACTGTCACCTGAAACTGTTCTTTCCATTTGCAATGTTATTTCTACACCCTTCAGAGTTTCCTGTTTTAGCCAACTTTTATGGTGTGTTTCATTTCAGTTTATTTCCCCTCTTCAGCACCTCCCTTCCAGTGACCCCTGCCCCACCCCCAAACCCTTATGCATTTGGTTTATTTTAAATCTCCCATGATTACGTAACTAGAATCCTGTGGTGGCTTCACTAGCCACCTCTACCCCATCCTTGCCTTCTTTCATCTACCTAACCACTCTTCTCTTTCCCACCAAGTCCATAGCTTTCTCCTATCTGTCTACATGTCCTTTTTAAGTATGATTTTATAACTGTGCCTAGTGGTATTTCCCATGAGAAGAAATACAAATGGCCACTAAACTTATGAAAAGGTGCTCAACACTCTAATACTCAAAGAAAGACAAATTAGATCAAGACCATTCTTTCTGCCTAAGATTAAAGAAAGTAACAATAGTTTGGGAACTCTCATACATGATTGGTCAAAGTATAAATTGGTACAACATTTCTGGATGGATCAATAATCAGGATTTTCATGAATTATCCTTGTTTAAGACTTCATTTCTAAGTTGAAATACGATTTTCATTTATTTTGTTTGTTTTATTTTGTTTACTTCATGCTTTTTGCCTAGAGCCTTTAACTGGTTTTAACTGCCTCCCTAGGGCAAAACATAAGGCTTGGGAAATTCAAACATACCTGTAATATACAAATAGACTTAATATTTTTTTAAGTTGCTGTTGGCCTGTAATGAAGACTGAAAACATTAAGTAAATACAGAGACAATTTCTTTGTTTGAAGTAAGAAAGAGGACAGTACCTGAATTTGCTAATAGTCCTCCTGTTTTACAGATTGATGATCTGAATATAGTGTGACTATATGTGACTCTGAGAGGAAAGGGATAGAGGTGGGCAGTGTGTTTACCTGTATAAGTAGAGGCTTGTGAGGCTTACTTGAAATCCCAGCTCTTCCCTCCCAGGCCTCTAATCATTTACTAACTCAGTTAAAATGGAGAACAAACCCCTTTCTTGAAAAGTTTTCCCCCATCTTTCTTCAGGCTTTAAAACACTGTTATATGGCTGCTATTAGAAGACAGGTCATAGCTGTTTTTAGCCAAAAAGGGTTATCACATTGTACATCTTTGGAAAAAAAAATCCCAAGACTTTAACTATAACCACTTAAACAAAACAGAACATAGAACTTGTAAGATGGTGCCAGTTTCCCATATTCAATTCTGTTGATAATGCATCAATTCTAGGCTCTCGCCCTTCCATACCTTTTAGAACAGGTTGTCAAAGAAAGCCCAGATGTCCCATTGCTTGGAAAGGGGAAGTCTAGTTATAGTTTGGAGGTTTGAAAAGTAACCCCCAAACTTCACTTGGGGCCAAAGTTCTACCTCATCTTGTAATTACAAGATTAGGGACCAGAGGTTCATATTACTTTTATTCCTCAGCTTGTTAGTTTTATTATTTATGCCTTCTCATCTTCCTTCCTTCTCACAGCTACTTTCTAGATTTTCAGATGTTGAAAATGGGAATGCCATATGTGAAATGATTCTTTTGATGTTTCTTTATCTGGTAGGTGTAGAAGACGCCTTCAGTTTCACCTCCAAAGTCATGACTGTGTCCTTGCACAAATTCTCCCCGGGATTTTTCCCAGGCAAGTGATCATAAACTCAATATTACATTTGATGACTAAATACTGAAATTCTTCTATACATTTCTTATACTTGGATGGTTCCATGCTGTTAATACCTTATTACTTAATAATACTTATTCTATGCAAAATTTTAACACAATTCACCTCAGGTGACAATAACATGAAAAATGACAATGTTGTTTCTTTTTCCAGGTGATTTTTATGGACTGTCAATAGATCACTTATGCTTACTATACTACTAGATACCCCATGCACCTCCTAACGTCCTGAATAATTGCAGTGATAAATTGATATTATGTCAACCTAAAAAGCATGAAGCCAAGCAAAGGAGTTAATCTCTTATATTTTCATTTGTTCCAGTAAGATGAAAACTAAGGTTTTTCAGTTTCCTTATTGTTTGCCTGCTTCTCCAAGATTGTTTACAATAGTTTCTTTATATTATTTTTCTTAATTTTTTTCCCTAGAAACTATCACTAATTTGTGATTGTTCTCCTAACTGACCTTTTCAGTCTTCTGAATTCCTAACAGGAAATCCTTTAAGTTTTCTGGGTTCTCATGCCTTAATAACTGATCATAGTGTTCTTCTCTTTTATAGGAACAGGTGATGTGTCTGATGTTGGCCTGGGGAAGGGACGGTACTACAGTGTAAATGTGCCCATTCAGGATGGCATACAAGATGAAAAATATTACCAGATCTGTGAAAGGTATGGCAGTAACACTGAGCCAATAGTAAGTGGATTGTAGTTCTGTAGGATGAAATGGCCCTTATCTCACAATGTAAACAAGAACAGTGTAAAAAAGAAAACAACTATATGCTTATTTGATCAGTAGCTATCTCCTGTATGAGAGAGCCAAGCAGTTGGACCAGAGCCATGCACCAGGTTGGATCTGACCCACTACTCAATATGATTAAGGCCTTCCCAAGAGCAGAGCTTTTAGGCTATCCTGAAGATTCCCTTGTTTGCTACTTTCTTAGCTAAAGAAACTTGCTTGTATATTATTTCATTAACCTGGCAGGGTTTATTTCCGTTGTCAGGGTTCATTATGGGGACCTGTGCTTTCTTCTAATTGACTATTATTATTTTTTGTGCATTCTTACGTTCTGTCCCCTGTGTTAAAATTGGAGTCAGATACCTGTTCTTTCTACACTATGGCTAAGGATTAAATTACAGGCAATCATAGGCAGACAGATTGGTTCCAATGTGTGGACCACTGAAGTTGAAAAGCTCTATGGAATGGGGATGCGGGGTTGTGCTAAACTCATATTCATAAAAATTGAGATTGTTCAGGCACAATTGGTGGCAGAGAAAGCAAATCTGACTAGAAGTCAGCCAGTAAACATTACTGAAGGTAAGTAATGGGGATGGAGGTACTCTTGATCTCTCCCCAGCTTAGCTCATATTTCTCCCAACCTCTGGTGAAGGTTCTTCCCAAAGGAGCCTGCCTGCACTGGCCATCATAACTGGCAGTTGTATAAACAAAGTGGTACTATTAAAAAATAAAAACTTTATGCTTCAAAAGTACCTCTTAGCTCAAGAGATTTGGTGAGCCAAGTCATCATTCAGTCATTCAGCAGCATTAGCCTCTTCATAATTTTAATCATGTCTCCTGGCTACCTCTTTGCATTATCAAACTAAAAAAAACTTCTTTTTTTTTGGAGCCTGCCACTGATGGTTTAATTGCCTTTCTTTGTTCCCCTTAAGCTCTCTGCTGTCCTTGAGATGTGCAGATCAGAGCTGCTTATGTAACTTTACCAATAAAGATATCCTGCAGTTCTATGTAAAAGGAGAATTGTTTTGTTTTTCTTTTAATCCCCTTCTTAGTAGTGCCCGATTTTGTTGCCCCTTTTTTTTTTTTTTTTTTTTTTACCATAACAGGAAAACTAAGTCGTTCTCTTCAGTGCACTATCCATAGTGTTTTCTAGAGCCCTTTGCTGGGTCTTAATTGAAAGGTCAGCACTCATCATCCTGCAAGCATAGTTTGTAATATCTAGTGCTTCCTAAATGGATCACCTTACATGTGGTCCTATTGAAGCTTATCTGCTAATCACAAAACCTCCTAAGATCTTCCTTTATCTCCCATCAGCTTGGTATTTCACTGCCTGGGAAAGCTGAGTATTATCTGCAGACTTGAGGATTTCCCAGTGCCTACCCCCAAGGAAGTCTACTATTTATCCTTCTTCAGTCAGAAAAAATATCTGTTTCTATCCTATATTTTCTTTTTTTTTTTCTGTAGACCAGTTTCTACTACATGATAAAAAAATATTTAAAATTATTTTATATCCCATGGTAATTCATGTTTTAAAATAGCCTTGGCATCAAACTTAATCAGAAGCATTTTTTAAAGTAAGTTTAGCTCCAAGGAAAAGATCTGTAGACGATTACACATGATTTCCCTTTACAAAAACCATGATGCCACCCACAACTCAATAGTTTGATGGCTTTTGTGTACAGGAGGCTATGATTTATTAAAGATTCTTCCAGCTTGCCTACTAAAGAACCAGACACTCATCAGTTTATAGTTTCCAGGGCCCCTGTACCTGTGGAGCCACGTTGGCAATGCAAGCCACACAGTGATTGTTGAGAATAACAGGTTCCAGGTTTTCATTAGAGGTATAATAATGTTTTCCCTTTGTTTTCCTTCAGAAGTCAAGTCTGGTCAGGCTATTATATGAAGGCACCTCTGATTCTAAAGATGCCAAGGCTTCCTGGTCCAAACATCTCTCCCATCTGTTGGATTAATACCTGAAATTCCTTTAACAGGAAACATAACTTTTATTCTACAATTAGAAATAGTCCTTAAAATGAAATTTTGGCACAACCTCTCATCCTTACCCCTGCTCTACCATAGAAGTATAGTTTCACAGCATGTTTTTTTTGGGAGGTGTGGACCGTGTCTTCCCCTGTTGCCCAGGCTGGAGGGCAATGGCATGATCATGCTCACTATAGCCTTGAACTACTGGGTTCAAGTGATCCTCTTGCCTCAGCCCCCCAAGTAGCTGGGATGAACAGGCATGCAATACCACGTCTGGCTAATTTAAAAAAAAAAGTTTAGTAGAGATGAGGTATAGCTTCACAGTACCATTTTTGACAGTGAATTGTAGTTCTGTAGGATGAAATGGCCCCCATCTCACAATGTAAACAAGAACAATGTACATCTCACAATGTAAATGAGAACGTGGTCAGAGCATGAGCTCACTGAGGAGCAGGAATTGCATAGTGGAGCAGTAGAGGGAAAGAGGTACCAAAAACCACAATGATCTTTGCAAAAAGTTTTGCACAGAGCCACCCCTGGTAACTAGATCACTCAGTCCCAGGTATTATGCTTTTGAATACTTCTGGTATGTGGCTTGGAAACAGTCTGTTACACATTTGCCACTATTACTTCTGACCCTTATGCCTGCCTCAAAAGATATATTACATCCAAGATAGCCAAATAGGAACAGCTCTGGAGTACAGTTCCCAGAGAGAATGCAGAGGGTGAGTGATCACCACATTTCCAAACGAGTTTTTACTGCCCACAGACCAGGAGATTCCCAGTCAGAAGAGCACCACGAGTCTCCAGCATGGCTCTTTCAGCCAGTGCAGCAGGACTCCTCACAAAAACTCATACAAATCTGGGTGGCCATTTCAACTGGTGTCTGGAATGCCTGGGAGACAGAGTCACCCATTCCACTGAAAAAAAGAGGGCTGAAATAGGGAGCCAGCTGATTTGGCTTGGCAGGTCCCACCCCTACAAAGACCAGCAATCTGAAATGCTCTGGATTGAGAGTTTCACAGCAAGCACAGCCGGACCCAGGATGGACCAGCTCTGTCAGGAGAAGGGCGTCTGCCATTATCGAGGCAGTACGCCATTACGGAGGCAATCCACCATTACCAAAGCAGTCTGCCATTACAGAGACAATCCACTATTACTGAGGCAGACCGCCATTACTGAGGCAGACCACCATTACCAAGGGAGTTCTAACTATACCTCTATAAACAAAACCAGAAGGAAGTTCACACAGCAGCTGAGCAGAGCCCACCACAGCTTAGCAACACCTCTGCTGGCAGACTGTGACTAGGCTACCTACTTGCTGGACAGGGCATGTCTGAAAAAAGGCAGCACCACATCAGGAACTTATAAATAAAGCCCCACCTTCCCAGGACAGAGCACTGGGAAAAAAAGCGGTTATGAGTTCTGCTGCAGCAGACTTAAACATACCTACCCAGTAGCTCTGAATGGAATAATGGAGCTCACAGCTCAGCACTTGAGCTCCTATAAGGGACAGACTGTCTCCTCAAGCAGCTCCCTGACCCCTGAATATCTAAAGAGACACCTCATAAAGGTGAGCTCAGGCTGATATCTGGCAGGTATCCTTCTGGAACAAAGATAACAGAGAAGAAACCGGCAGCAAACCTTACTGTTCTGCAGCTGCCGCAGGTGATCCCCAGGCAACCAGGAACTTGAGTGGACCTCCAGCAGTCGTACAGCAGAGGGACCTGACTGTTAGAAGGAAAACTAAAAAACAGAAATAACTTCATCATCAACAAAAAGAACGTCCACTCAGAGACCCCATCCAAAAGTCACCAACTACAAAGACCACAGGTAGATAAATCCACAAAGATGGGAAGAAACCAGTGCAAAAAGGGTGAAAACACCCAAAACCAGAATAGCTCTCCTCCTCGAAGGGATCACACCTCCTCACCAGCAAGGGAACAAGGCTGGAGAATGAGTCTGATGAATTCACTGAAACATGCTTCAGAAAGTGGGTAATAACAAACTTCTCTGAACTAAAAGAACATGTTCTAACTCAATGCAAGAAACTAAGAACCTTGAAAAAAGGATTGACAAAATGCTAACAAGAATAAACAGCTTAGAGAAGAATATAAATGAATTGATAGAGCTGAAAAACACAACACAAGAACTACGCAAAGCATACACAAGTTTCAGTAGCTAAATCAACCAAGTAGATGAAAGGATATCAGAGATTGAAGATCAATGCAATGAAATAAAATGAAAAGGCAAGATTAGAAAAAAAAAAAAGAATAAAAAGAAATGAACAAAGCCTCCAAGAAATATGGGATTATGTGAAAAGACCTAATATATGTTTGATAGGTGTACCTGAATGTGATGAAGAGAATGAATCCAAGCTGGAAAACACTCTTCAGGATATTATCCAGCAGAACTTCCCCAACCTAGCAAGCCAGGCCACCATTCAAGTCCGGGAAATACAGAAAACACCACAAAGATATTCCTCAAGAAGAGCAACCCCAAAGCACATAATAATCAGATTCACCATGGTTGAAATAAAGGAAAAAAATGCTAAGGGAAGCCAGAGAAAAAGGTTAAGTTACCCACAAAGGGAAGCCCATCAGACTCACAGTGGATCTCTCAGCAGAAACCCTACAAGCCAGAAGAGAGCGGGGGTCAATATTCAACATGCTTAAAGAAAAGAACTTTCAACCTAGAATTTCATATCCAGCCAAACTAAGCTTCATAAGCAAAGGAGAAATAAAATCCTTTATGAACAAGCAATTGCTCAGAGATTTCATGACCACCAGGTCTGCCTTAAAAGAGCTCCTGAAAGAAGCACTAAACATAGAAAGGAACAACCAGTACCAGCCACTCCAAAAACATACCAAATGGTAAAGAGCATTAACACCATGAAGAAACTGTGTCAACTAATGGGCAAAACAGCCAGCTAGCATCAAAATGGCAGGAT